AAATTGTGTTTCGAAACATTTTTCAAAATTCATTCCAAATTTTTTTGCTTTTTCAACAAACGATTCTTCAAATTTTTTCATTAGATCTGAATCGAATGGATGAAAACAAAGAATGGCAAAATTTATTGTATTAGATGGTTTATTGTAGAATGGTTTATCCTTAGAGTCTGGTACAATTTCTGGATGAAAAAGTAATGTTGCATTTGTTTCGAATGGCTCCGAATGAATCTTGATACCGAATGATTCGACACAATTTTCAATGTCTGTACGACATTTTCTAAAAAATTCAAATTCTTTTTTAGGACCACAATTCAATTCATCACCAAAAGTTTTATAAGCTTCTTCAGAAATATATTTATACTCAAAAATCTGATTCTCTCCATCAGATTTAATTACTTGTCTTGATATTAGAATTAAAGGTTCGGGCATCGGAATGATTGACAATCGAAATCCAACAATAACTGAAATTTCATCCTTTGGATATGGATATGCATTTTGAACAACAAGATCGGAATCGATAATTGATTTTTCCTGTTTCTCTACGAAGAATAGAAATAAATTTTTCAGATCTATTCCGGCTTCAACTGCCGAATTGAATTGGTCAATATATTTTAAATTTATTGTAAATCTATCATTACGAGAATCATCACGTAAATTAACAATATTTTTACGAATTCGATTGATAATGATTAACGATCGTGAATAAATGTAACCATTTTCATAATAACATTCGATTAATAATGAATTTTGTTTAATAAAACTTTTTACAATATTAAGAATATCATTTTTACGATAAATATTAGGTGATATTTTAACACTATATTTATAAATAATGATTGGTAAAAATGTTAAACGAAAATAATTTGATTTTACAATGAATGTTGATTCATCACCAATATTGTTAATATCATTCGAATTTTCCATGTTTCAAGATGAAATATTCTTTTCTTTAAAAAAAAGGNGAATCGAATGGATGAAAACAAAGAATGGCAAAATTTATCATGTTAGATGGTTTGCTGAAGAATGGTTTATCCGGCGAGTCTGGAATAATTTCTGGATGAAAAAGTAATGTTCCGTTTGTTTCGAATGGCTCCGAATGAATCTTGATTCTAAATGATTCGACACAATTTTCTATGTCTGTACGACATTTTCTAAAAAATTCAAATTCTTCTTTTGGACAACGTTTCAATTCATCATCGAAAGCTTTATGAACTTCTTCAGAAAAATGCTTATAATCATGAATCTTAATCTTTCCATCATATAATATTACTTGTTTTGATATGAGAATCAATGGTTTCGGTATTTGAATGATTAAAAATCGAAATCCAACTATAACTGAAATTCCTTCGTTTGGAAATGGATATTCATTTTGAACAAAAAATTCTGAATTTATCAATTTTTTCCGTTTCTGTACGTAAAATCGGAAAAAATTTGACAAATTTATTCCGGCTTTAACTAATGAATCGAATTGACCAATATTTTTTAAATTTATTGTAAATCGATTATTACGAAAACCTCTGCTCCAATTAACCGTTCTGTATTGAATTTGATCGGAGATAATTAACGAACGTGAATAAATGTAACCATTTTCATAATAACAACCGGACGACAATAATGTTGAATTTTGTTTAATAAATCTTTTCATAACATTTAGTACATCATTTTCACGATAAATCATAGGTATTATCTGTACACTATATTTATAAATAACGATCGGTAAAAAATTTAAACGAAAATAATTTGATTTTACAATGATTGTTGATTCATCACCAATATTGTCCGAATCATTCGAATTTTCCATGTTTGTACTTGTTTCAAAGACCAAATATTTTCTTTAAAAAGGTAACGTAAAAACAACGACAACAATAATTTCTGATCAAAAATAATTTTTTTTTTAATTATTAGTAATTTTATATCAATCACACACACACACACACACACAGACAATCTGTAAATGCATCGTCAGGTGTGGTTTGTTGCATCATTATAGATAAAATAACAAGTGTTGTTGTTTTTTTTTGAAAAGTATTTCTTTTATTAAAAATCCATGATAATAATATTCCAGAAATGATTTTCAAAGAAAAGTGTATGTATGTGTGTATGTGTCTGGATTGATAAATCATACAACAAATGATTCTGTTGGTAATGTTAATCTTTAAAAGTTTATTTTTTTATATAAAAAAGTTTCACTTACATACACTCACATACACACAAACTCTTTCATACATTTTATATCACTTGCACACACCTGTTGAGATCTCTTCTTAGGAGTCCATATATTTCCATTTTCCATTACTAATGAATATCCGTTTCCGTTGATTACATCCAATATTTCAGAACAAACACTTATACATAACCATAACCACTCAGACACAGACACAAACACAGACAAACACACCTATAGGACCAGAAGAGATCACAGAAAGTTTTGAAAAAAAAAATTTGATAATAATAATAATAATAACTCTTACCACTCCAATGTCCCCTCTGAGGGGACATTTTCCATTAAAATTTTTTTGTCTGGAGTGGTAAGGGATAATAATCTCATTCAATCATTAATTTATAAACCTAAAATATTGTGTAACAAATAAATTAATTAGTGTANATAGGACCAGAAGAGATCACAGAAAGTTTTGAAAAAAAAAATTTGATAATAATAATAATAATAACTCTTACCACTCCAATGTCCCCTCTGAGGGGACATTTTCCATTAGAATTTTTTTGTCTGGAGTGGTAAGGGATAATAATCTCATTCAATCATTAATTTATAAACCTAAAATATTGTGTAACAAATAAATTAATTAGTGTATCGGGGGATTAAAAAATCAATCAATCAAAACTTGATCATCATCATCATTGATTTTTAACGAGAATTTTTGTTTTTTAATTCATTTTTTGTTTGTTTGTAAATTTGTTTATGGTGTTAAATTATCACATTTTTTTTGTTTGTGTTGGGGATTTTTTTTTATTTAAATTTTTTTAAATCACACTCACACACACTCTCACTCTTTGTTTTTTGTTTAGTTTCATTAAAATCACACATACACACATTCCATTTTCTGGCACAATTTTTTTGTTTTGTTTTAAAGAATATTCT